GGTGACGGGCCTGAGACGTGATCATTGCCTCTACTTTGCATGGTGGATGACGCCACCGTCGAAAGTTTTGGTCTCAATTCCTGCCATCGCAACAGAGACATTTCTTCAATGCCGGCATGTGTCTTCCCGGTGTAGACAAACAATGCCCACATCGATTTATGAGGCGGCTGGACTTCCCGTACAATAAAAGGACTAAAAATTCTATCAAAAATCTTTGGCAATTTTTTGGAGCCTCCAAGTGGTTTGGTTCGGTCTCACCGAGTGAACGTGACCAAACTTGTGTACTCTTCTGTATTCCACATGGTCTCACCGAGTGCACTAGGTGTCCCGTGACAAATTTACTGGCATCCATTCGGCCAGTCGGAAGTAACTCTGCAGCTTCTGCCCCTGACCTTGTTTTGGCTCTACATGTTGCAGATGACCTCTGATTAAGACAATTTTTATATCAAAATCAACCGTTTCGACGAGACGAAGATTTTTCATGTTGATAATTTTTTTAGTTGAGGCCATCTTAATTATGTTTTGTGCACCTGACACTTTTCGGCCAACAGGAACCAAAGAGTGCTCTTCGGCCAACGGGAAGCCGAAGATACTATCTTCGGTCCAGCTGGGCACTCTTCGGCCAACGGGAGGCTGAAGAGCCCACTTCGGCCAACGATAGGCCAAAAAGTCCCTCTTCGGCCAACAGAAGGCCGACGGGGTTATAGTTTCGATTTTTATGCATTAGGGCGTATAGTTTTCGAATTTGCTATAAAAATCATCATAGTTTCGAAAAAAAATCTCTAGGGGCAGCGCGAGCGCGTGGGCCGGGATGTTTCGGGTGTCATCTCATGAGCGTGTTAATTTGTACAACAAAGGGAAATTGGCTAACTAAGGTCAATTTTGTTAACTTTCTATACTCAATTTTTTCGCTGAACTATATAATTTAAAAAATCCTTTTTAACAGAAAATGTAGAAGGGGCAAAAAGGGATTGTCAGACATTTACAAAGGCTTCCCAAGGGTTGCCGCATTTTGCAAGGGCATATAGCTCATTGTCAGATTTTCCAAGGGCATATAGCTCACTGGCAGACTTTCCAAGGGCATACAAAGTTGTTACCCTTTACACAATGAGTGGAATTTTTAGAAATTGTCAATAATTACCACACCCATCACGTGAATTACCAATAATTACCGCAAACACATGAACATCGAAAACAAAAATCAACACATGATATTCTTGACAAAAGCTGCATTGGGTGTGGAATACCTCGAGACAATCATTGAATTACAGTTGCATCTTAGGAGCTTCCCACCCCCAAGCTTCATGAAACAAGTGACCCAAAACAAAAACGCCCACATTAGTGTAGCTATAAGAAGAATCGTGCCATCAGTCAGAACACAAAATAGCTCAAGAAATAATGCAGATAAAAGAGCAGAACGTACATATATCCAAAGCCGTTCTTGGCATCTGCACCAACAGCATACATGCACACAGAGGCCCTGAATGCTTGAGCGTAACCTAAAGAGAACAAAATATCTTAAGCAGGATAAATACTTCTTCTTTTTAGGCAGCTGGATAAAACATCGAACAATCAGTATGGGCTCTAGTTTTAGTTCCCAAACTAGAACCAAGAAATAATAAGATGGGATAAAATGAGAATTAGATATACCTCCATGCTAGCTAATCCATGTGACACCATCTCAATCATTCGGGTTCTTGTCTCCAATAGCACAGGTGGGGTCACAGAGTCACAGTAAAAATTTAGAGCTAATGTTCCATTTACCATATGGGAATAAGAGAGCCAAAACCCACTGTTACTAAAATCATCTACTGTGTGGTTTGTTCACTAGTATGTTTTCATTAAGAACAATAGATGAGTTTATGTTAATCAAACCCATCAAGGCCTGCACAGCTCACAAGCATCAAACGACAATGCATGAACAGCGAACGGTTCCCTCTCCCACAGCTACTCAGGAGACATCTGTGTTATTTTTTTTTTCGAGAATGGACATCTGTGTTATCACACGGTGATGGAAGCAACGAGCAATTTTTCAACAGACACCCGGATGATCAGTCAGGGGAACCCAAACCAGGCACGCACCTCCTGATCGGACTCCTCGTTCTCGAACTTGGGGTAGAAGGTGGCCCGGGTCCGCGCCGCGGCGAACGCGCACGTTGCTGTCTAACGAGAACTCCTTGAACATAGTGGAGAGCTCATCGTCGGCACCACCCTGCCCGGCCGTGGCCACGGGGGACGAAGACGTCGCCCCTGCTGTGTTGCGGGACGAGAGGGTCGTCTTCTTCTCCACGCCCCTGGCGGCCGTGGACGAGGGGGCGGGGGTGGGAGTGGCCGACTCCTGCTCCTGCTTGCCCTGCGACTGCAAGGTGGGACATGGTTAGGGTTCGGGGAGTCCGGGAGGGTCGAGAGGCGGACGTACCTGGTCACGGTCGCGGTCCCGGAGAGGAGGCATTGCGAGGGGCGAGGCGGGGACGGAGGTGAAAGTCGGCGGGGAAAGCGCCGCCCCGGGAGGAGGGCGACAATCTGGTTGGGGCTGGGCCCAGTTGCCCGGCACGCTTATCTCCTGTTGACCGTAGCGAAGAAGGTCCATTTTTTGGCACATCTCTAGCTACCATATACATTGCATATAAGGTTTGGTTCATGACTAACTTTGTCACACTAATCCTAGGTAAAGTGTGGCTGCCACGAAAAATATGGCTAACAAAATGGTCACCATAAGTGTGTCAAGATTTGGCAAAAAACTAAGCCTATGACATATGGACCATATAACTAGAAAAGTGTGACAAGCCACAAATGTGACAATGAACCAAACACATGACTAAGATGTTGCGGCATGGCTAACGGGCTGTTTGGATTGTGACTATCTTTACCATATATTGCCACACGTGCCTTAGTTGAGTTGCTCAAATTGTTAGCCATACTTTGACTTGTCTAAGGAAATCTTGCCACACTTTTTGTGTCTATGACATGCGGGGTTCACTGCTCATAAAAAATCCTTGACTTAGGTGTGGCTAGAACCAAACACCTACCTAACTTGGTCAAACTTGCCTAAGGTTAGGTGTGGCAAAGTGTGCCAAGGTGTGACTGAGAACCAAACAACCCCTAAGATTATGTATGGCAACCTTAGAGCAACTCTAGCAGACCCTGCAAAATCTCGACCCGCTAAACATGTTTGCAGTTTCACGAAGATCTCGTTTGCGGGCCGAGAACTAGCACGGCCATACAGAAACCGTAGATGAAACTGCATAATTTGAAAAAACAGTTTCGCGGGAGAAATTGCACCTCGTGAACGCGAGTAGTTTATCACGTACTACATATATTTTACATGATTAAACACTACAAACACTAGTTCATATTACTCCCTCCGTTTTTATTTAGTTTGCATATTAGCTTTGGTCAGAGTCAAGCTTTACAAACTTTAACCAAGTTTATATACAAAAATATTAAGATATACAATAACAAATCAACAACATTAGATTTATTATTAAATGTAATTTCACATCGTATAGATTTATTATGATAAATGTCTATATTGTTTTCTATAAACTTGGTCAAACTTTACGAAGTTTGACTTCAGTCAACTCTAATATGCAGAGTAAATAAAAATGGAGGGAGTACATACTACATCAGTACTAGTATTAGAGGGGTGGGGATCTCACGGCAGCGAGCTCGCGGCCATGGACAATGCCGTGGAGGAGCTCAATCCTCCTCGCCGGAGCTGACGAGGTCGATGTACTTCCCCCTCTGCTCGTCGCGGATGCGCCTCCACTCATCGTCCTTCCCCTTGGCGGCGAGGTTGGCCACGACCTCCTACCGGAACTGCAGGTCTTCGAGCTCCTCGTGGTGGCGCCGGCGCTCCGCCTCCTCGCGCACGCTTCGCTCGGTAATGGCGGCCGCAACCGCGTCGACGTCAGCGACGGAGTCCTCCGGCCCGATGACTCCGCGGCAGCCGAGCTCCTCGGTCTCCTCCTTACCGGGACGAACTCGAAGTTCTCCGGCTCCTCCGACCACTCCCTCTTCACGGGCAGAAGGCCCGCGCCGGAAGAAGAGGAGCTCCCGGCGTAGGAAGATCTCACAGCAGAGAAGGACGCGGCAGAGGACGGGGTACGGCCGTGCCGACAGTCTTACTCGTCCGTCTCGCGGATGCGGAAGCTCGGCGGCGGCGAGAGGCCGTGGTTGGTCCACTTCCATTCCACGCGCTTCCTTGCGCCGTCCGACCGGACGCGCCGCTCGCGCTCTGGGTCACCGCCGCAGCCGGATCTGCTGCCGGAGCCGTGTCCGGAGCTCCACATACGGCCCCATATGGCGGCTGGAGGCGGAAGGGGGTCGCCGGCGGCGAGAAATGTGAAGAATGGGGGTGGGGAATTGCGTGGCTCGGCGGTGGCGGGGGATAGGGATTCGACCCACAAACGCGCCGTGAAACCGTAAATAGTGGTCGGGGCGTGCGGTTTGCGGGCCACTGTAAAAAAAATTACGGGCCGGGCGAGTATGCGAGCTCTGTTCTAACCAGAAAATTGGGTCGAGCCCGCATACTCACCGGAATTTTACGGGTCCACGACTTTTGCGAAGTCTGTTAGAGTTGCTCTTAGGGTGGGAACCAAACAGAACCTTAAATCCTGACCCCTCGAAACTGGCAATGCCTGTGGAAACAAAATGAAAACTGTTGCATATAGACTCCTGCTGATGGTCAGATGCCAAACTAGTAATGCCTCTGAAGACGATCTACTGGTTCTTTTTTTTCCGCGAAGAGACGATCGACTAGTTCTGGTGAAAAGGACTCCAACAAAACCAGCACTATTCATATGATGATAACGGCGAGCAGTTGTACTTCAAATAAATAAATAAATAATAACAGTGTTCTTTATTTCCAAATTGCGCATCAGCTGGCGCATTAGCGTGATCACTTGGAACTGGGCCAAAGCTGATCAAAGTGTAGGTATATGGGAAGAGAAAAGGAGGATGGGCCAGCGTGCCAACGTGGCTGAAAAAGAATACGTATTCTATTTGCACCCTTCCACGCATAAGTCCATTGTAGTATAGCAGATGTTGCTTAGTAAACAACACTCGCAATGGAATGCAGTGCGGCAATTCCAGCCCCTATGCACGCATAATCCATGTGGTATATGAATCTTCTTGCTGACTTTGTCTTCCATGATTCGGCCTACGCGACAAAAAAATATATCAGCCGTTAATATCCATCAATATATGTTGATTACCAAATCGAATAACGATTATGGATCTAGCGACACGTGTATACAAACATAAAATGGAACAGGAATAACCACGGGCAACCTTTGGGGTAGTGTACAATCAACTAGAGAACAAGCTATCCTTATTTTTAAAGACAAATATGCACGAGTAGGACATACTAGTTTGCAGAGACGAAGGTTAAACTCCTTTTCACTTTGTATCATTTTGATGCAATTATAATATTAGCAAAAGGTTTTCATTTATGCGACAAAGGAGAATTACTAGTAACTCGGGACGCTACTTACAATGCACATGGATGACAAAGCACATGAGAAGCAGCAGCGAGAGCAGCGTTGCTGCATGAGCAAGGCCGGTGCGCTTGGCCATTAAGACGATGCAATTGAAACTGCAAATACTTCCTTGGCGCGTG